CCCACAAAGTTTTTGGGTGTAAGTGGCTATGAAATATGCACAGGCCACAAAGTGCAGCTTCTGTGAAGAAAGTTTTCCCCAGGAGCCGGGTGTTGAGCCTTCGCTTAGGCTGCTTATTAAATGTCCTTGCCCGTCCTGGCAGCTGGGCAGGTAAACACCTCAACCACGCCCTGTTTTACGGCCGCTACGTGGTCTGGGCATTGATGATGCTGGTGGGGGCGGAGACCAGGGGTAAGCATAAGCAAAAAGGATTCCCATGGCGAAGGAAGCTTTATAAGAAGTTGATTTTGTCTGCTTTTCGGTCTCTTGGAATTTCTATTTGTTTCTTGGCTTTCAAAACGAAAGTGAAAGCTCTGCGTGTGCGTGGGTGGGTTTTTCCTTTTTTTTTTTTGTCCAAATCGCCGGAATAAAACCAATTGAAAAATTTATTTGCTTTCATAAATGAAATTGAAAATGATTTTCTCGGCTCTGAGTTGGGTTCAATTCATTTCGGTTTTGCTCTTATTTTTTGCACACTCGCATCAGTTGCTACGATATTTGCTGTGAGGCAATATCATTGGTAACACACACAGAGCAGAAGTGTGTGAAATATTTATGGCGGCAAGGCCAAAATTTCGGGCTGTGGTTAATGAAAAACAGAACGGAAAAAGCATATTGTGACCCATTTTTACGACACTGTGGAGTATTTGACATCGATAAACACTTAAACTATCAATTATACTAATTGGTTGAACTAACCAAACTGGGATATAAAATACTTAAGTGCTATATATAATCAAAAGTTTCCTCAACATCATGCCATCTAATTTTAACCCACTCCTTCTAGCTAATGTGATAAATTGTATAAATGTCATTCCTTTCCATTTCCCATTCGATTTTATAGAATTCCCGCCAACTTTCGTTTGCAATAACTTCCAAGAAGTGGTAATGATATTAAATAACAATGGAAACACCTGCGAAAGTCACCTGCCACCGCCTGTAGGCTGTCTACCTCTGCACTTCTGGGACTTTAAAAACCGCTGTCTGAAAGGGATCCTACTCCGCCCCGACGGACAGCCCTCCACATCAATTCTCCAAACGAAACATAAAACTTTTTCCTATGAATGAGAAAACCAAAAGTGGTTGGATTGGGTGGCCTTGGCGGTTCGGTGGGTGGTTTTGGGAAGGTAATGAACCACCGACCGAGGGGCGGAGAGAACGAACAACCGATATCAGTATAATATAACAACATAACTTTCTGAACTTTATGAGCGCCGATTGCTGTTGTCATTTCACTTGGCTGCCGTTAATGTTGCTCCTTGATGTCCTTGTTGCTTTTGCTGTTGGTGCTTTTCTTCCTGCGGCTAAAGTTGAAGAAGTTTTGAGCGCGGTTTTTGAACAACTTTTGTCTTTTTGATTTTGCCTGGCAACCCAGAATCGTACACGACTTGAAGAGTTTTCTTTTGACTGAAAAGTTTATGTCGATTTGTTGTGGTTGGCCCGGATCCGACGTCTCTTGTTTATATTGCGGCTTGACTTGGTCTGGTTTGGTTTCAGCTTCGTAGCCATAGCTATCGATTTACAGCTCATAAAATTGCAAATTTATTAGGATTACCGATGCCATATTGGAATTCCGTGAATATCCTTGGGAGGAAAACCCATCGCCTGTCTGCACAAGTAATTAATATCGTTTGCATGCGCATTTGGTTTCCCTGGATGCACGTATCTCTCATTTCCAACTCATATACATACACAGCGATGAATATCCACGCACACACCCTCACTCATAGTTGCATGCCAGGACATTGTCAACAGATGGAACAATACTCGATTTTTCATGTGGATTTCGTTCTGACAGTTTTGCTGAAATCCAATGCCACACAGATGCGTGGACCCACACTTTTGTGGGTGAACTGTGTGCTCCATATGGCTCATTGCCCGATTTGATTGATCCAACTGGTGACACCTCCCTGGGGGGTCATATGCCAGGATCCAAGGAGTGGGGCGAACATGCCGTGGGTAATGTTTTCACCAACTGTGTCGCGCATTTGCCTAAAATGTCAAATATAAATATTTGTTTGGTTCTTGTTTGAATTACGTTTTCGGGTTTCTAATAAACATTGCGCTCAGAAACCGTAGAGAAATTACGGTGATAAATCGAGGGGGCGGTGGGCGTGTCACGTTTTGCCTATTTAGAGACACACACACACATGCACAAGCTAGCAACTGTCTTTGTATTGGCTGTTTGTACTTCTCCTCCTGTTGCTGGTGTTTGCACTTTGGCCCGAAATGTTTTGGGTTGCCATTAATTACATTGTCAATAGATTTGAACTTGCGGAGGCGTACTCGTATTGTGTGTGCACATCTTTGTTTAGTTAATGAACTGATTGTCCGAGAGTGGAGACTTGCAATTGATAGGGGTCTTCCATGCCACAGGCTTTAATCACAGAAGGTCTGGTCAACAATAAATTAGCAAGAGGTCATGTGATATGCTGCCCCAAAATCATGGGTGTTTACCAGATACAAATTGGATTTTGGAAATTCAAATACCTGAGCTATACCTATTAAATATTTTAATTACTGGCCAACCCTTTAAATACTTACTTACCTAATTATGATTAAAACATTTTATTTTCGTTCCGTTAACCCTTCTTCTAAGAGACCCTTTTCAAGTAATTGTCCAACCATATGTTATGCTATTGATTTCTGTTCGAAATGAATAAATAAATACCTTTGACTTTACCGCTGCCATAAAAGAAGGAAAAAATGCTCACAGCCAACCGTGCGTATACGTAATTCTCTCATAAATGCAATCCTGCTGCTCCCGGTGGGAAATAAACATGGCAAGGCGCTCACGTTTGCAAATCCCTCAAAAAGCCAACTTAAGCTGATACAAACACACTGCCACATGTACGCACACATCGAAGCGAACGAGTGTGTTTGTGTGAGACATACATTAACGTATCAATGGCTTATTGGAAGAGCAGAAAACTCGACTATATCCCCATATAAATAACTCGTACCCACTCCCACGCAGTGTTCTCCTCTGGGTTGGAGTACGTGTTCAAATTGAAATCCAATGCCAGTACATTGGCGGGCCTACGGAGCCCTTGTTTTTTGCCAGAGTCCTGGCAACGAGTCCTGCTCTGATTCAGGCTGAGTGTCAACCTGTATAATTAATGAATAATCATTTCGCACTAAATTGCAAGTGATGACTGGCGGAAATAGCAAGTCGGTATACCAAGTATTATGTATTTAATTGTACCAATTACCATGTTTATAATATTATTATTTAATTTTAATAATATTTTGAGGGAATTAAATATTTTCATTAATGGTCTATCCTACCTAAATTATTTAATCTAAACGTGCCACCTCTAGCCCAGTTTAACCGCATTTAGACCAAAACCCCACTGACCCCAGTGGCCAATGACCAAAATAAAGTCGCTCCTAATGAACAAGGACATTCAAATGGCAAAATATGGCTGGGCTGCCTGTGGCCAGAGAGGCCAGCAAAATGGATTTCGCCGGCATTAAAAATCAGTTTCGCCTACCGAAATGTAAAAGCATAATAGAGAATCAATAAAGCTCCGGCCAAGTGGGGTTTTTGGTTGCTGGCCGGTAAATCGCAGTGTTGACCAGGCCGGACAGCTCGTATGTGGTCGGGGCGAGAGTGTTTGCGGTTAAATGCCTACGGATTTGTCGTTGTAAAATCGTTTTTTCCCATTCCTCTCAATATAAGGGGTGGTGGAGGTCATTGGGTCTGAGATTAAATCCCTATCTAAGCCACTTATTAAGTTCAGAGTATATTTTTTATAGAGTTTTATATAAAACATTAAATCCTTTTTGTGCACTATAACTTTCTTAATATTTGCTTCTATTTCTTGCTTATATTTCACTTTCAGATATATTTAATAGATTTCTTGGTGGCTTACTTTATTAGTCACCCCCGTTTCTAAAAAAAGCCGCAATGTCATGCTAATAAGACAAGGTTCATTAATATAATATTTTTTCTTGATATTCATTTAAAATTCTCATTTTGAATCGCATTTTTTCCACTGGTTAGACTTCAACTGGTTAGAAGAATATTATTTCTCAAAATTGATTGAACAAATATTATTCCGTTCTTATTTTTACACCGGTTAGAAGCTCAAAGCTTTAATATAATGAATAAATACATTTTCTGCACAATTGCTTTCTTAATATTTGCTTCCATTTCTCACGTTCAAGGAAATGGTATTTATTTAAAAAAATATATATTATTATTCTTAACCATAGTAATTTTTAGTAAAATGTATAGCTCCTCCGAGTACGATTGGTCCCTGCAGAGGACAATTCATAAGATTCGTTTACAAGACTCGATGGAACACCTGCGAATATCTCGAGTGGGGGGGGTGTCGCGCCACAGAAAATATTTTTGAAACAAGAAAGCAATGCACAATGACTTGTGTAAAGAAAATGGAGATTACTCCAATAGAAATTACTCCATTAGTCACCCCAATTTGTAAAAGACCATCAATGTCATTCGTATTAGAAAAGCTCTAATAATATTATATTATATTATTTCTTGACTTAAGGCTAAAAACTCTCATTCTTTTTCAAATATTTCTAACGGTTAGAAGCTCAAATCTATTTTTAAATGATTAAACACATCTTGTGCACGATAACTATCTTAATAATGGCTTCCATTTGTCATTTTGAAAGGAGTGGTATTTATTTATAATAATACAATAATATTATACTTACCTATAGCATTTTTTAGGGAAATGCTATGCTCCTTCTATTAAGCCAGGTTATTGCATAGGAGGTAAATATACTTACAACTCTCGATGGAACACCTGCGTATATTTTGTGTACGGAGGGTGCCACGCCACGGCCAATATTTTCGAAACAAGAGAGGAATGCAAATGGAATTGTGTAAGGAAACGGAGATTACGCTAATAATCTAAACACCATCAATGCCATTCGCATTAGATAAGCTAGTAATAGACCACTCTCTAAAAAACTGGTGCTGGCTCCTAGAAATCACAGAAGTTGTAGCCAAATAAATCATAAGCTGTTAAAATTTCAAAATGAAGTGTGAGTCCGTTTGCCTTGTGGCTCTATTATTTTTGTGTACGACTTTGATCTGGGCCTACGATAGTAGTAAGACGGGAACAATGCCATTTTTGGCAGAGAAAATCTATCTAAATCAGAACTCTTCCTAGGAAAATGCGATGACTGGCCCAGCCAGACAGGACCTTGCAAGGCATCCTTTCAAATGTGGCGCTTCATCAAGGAACGAATGGTCTGCGAGCCCTTCATTTATGGAGGCTGCCAGGGAACGAAGAATATGTTCGACCAGGAAGCGGATTGCGAAAAAGCGTGCTTGCAGTAAACTTTTAATATAAACAACATTTCTCAACATCGTCTACGTCTTACCGTCTACCCATAATGGAAAGTAAAAGTTCTCACGTCCAAAGTATGATTTGTCTGCAAAGTTTGAATGGATTTTGCAAACAAGTCTCTGGCAACAAACGACTAAACTACTGGGAATAAACCACAGCATAGCTCTGATTTATGCTACTGAAAATTGGGTAAAAAAAAACTATATTTGAATCACTACTGGCCTGCGGTGTGATAATGGGCCTCAAATCTGCCACCCAGCATTTCAGCTTTGTGTATTTTTCACGGGGCCCTCGGTGACAATAACACACGGCGTATACTTAATCAGTTGCACCTCTAATGAGCAGGCCGGATCAACGGGATCTATCACGCCCCCCGTGTTCCGCCCACCCAATTCAATCAGCTACGAGCTGGCCTTACTTAATATGCAGGTCCCAGCACAAATTAAAAGCCGGTAATACAGGGCCACTGCCTCAGTAGCTGCTGCTGCAAACAGTTATTGTGTGTTTGTTCGCTGTCCGTTATTAGATTTCCCGACAACAGACAAAGTTCACTTGTCGCTAACATCAGATGTTAGCAATGCTGCCGCCATGTTTCCTTTTCCCCGTCCTTCGCCCAGCCACTGTTTCCGTTTCCGCTCATCCACGTAGCTGGTGTGTGTGTCTATGCTTCTGTGTTTGTGTGCGTGGGAATTAAATTCATTAGCAATTTGCACGCCAACAAGCGGGTGAAAAGTGCATCCCAACTGATGGCAAACAACAGAGACGGGAAGATACAAACTGACAGATGGACGGACGTGTTGTGGAGCAGAAAAAAAAGCGAGCAACACCAACAGCATTAATTTCTAGATGAGAATTTTTTTCCCAACTTTAGTTTCTTTTTTTTTCACAAGCCAAGGTTAGGTCATTAGTAAATGGCAATTCATGAAAACACCATACAAATTAGAATACACAAGTTTGGTAATACATTAAGTAATTAACTTAAAACCCCCGAAACCCTAGAAATAAAACACCAATTCTTACTTCATTGCATCAAACTCTTTAAAACATAATAACGGCAATCTATTAGATTACTATATCTATCTATCGCTTGAATGACAGATTGGAGTACTTGGAATTGCGACCCTTAATAAAGTCGCAATCCTTACGGCCCAGGGCCATGTCATGAGGATATTCGATAGGAAACACAATAGGTTGGCGATCGACTCGCGATTGAGGTAATTGAAGCATACGTTGCGATTCCGTATCGGCTTTTTCAGTGCACTTGCCGACATAGACTTTGAACCTTGCGGGAATGTGAACTTTGTTATAGGGGTCCTTGGCATAGTCACGATACTCCTGGCAGTCCAGATAGAACATGTCCTGTTCATATATTTCGGCGTAGTCCACCATCGCCAATCCTTTGGGCATGGCTTTGAGGATGACCTGACGTTGTAGGCGACTGGATTTGCTAACATTCCACATGTCCACCTCCGGGATACGCATCTTGAATTGATATTCCTTCAAAACTCTCAATGTATAAAGTCAAAGAGAATTGTAAAAGTGTGGAAATTTTGTATGTATTAATGTATCAGAGCTAACTGAACTTAAAGTGTTGTTCTATGCTCGAGTTTGTGTAAAGGAATGAGATATGGAGAGTTTGATAGAAAACACCTGAAGTTAAAACTTGACGTTTTAATGCAAGGCTTGCTTGAAAAATTTGTAGACCAAGTTTTACTTTAAAAAATTACATAAATTTTACATTATTTCGAAAACAAACTGAAACTAAAAATCAATAGATGCAATGTAGTTTTGCTTTCCAATAAGAGTAATAAGAAATTAAATAAATAAGAATAAATAGAAATCCTGGTGTTTGATAATTTGATAATCAGAATAAACTATATGTACTATAAACTATATATCTCAAACACCGTAGCGGATAGCAACATCAACTTCTTATCGGATTAGTCCAGTTTAATGCCAAACTTTCCCTGGTGTGTTTTGAAATTCGCTGATACATACATCCATTATATTATAAGGATCAGGATAAGAGTCCCTATAGTTCAGGTAAAAGATATCTAAGTCCTAGCATGGCAAAGCCTAGAATCAAATTCCGCTGAGCTGTGGAGCACTTTACCTATTCAAAAAAAATTCGATTAAACCAAAGCCAACTAGACAGCTCTGTACCATGGAGCCACTTTTAAATAGAGAAATTGTTGAGTGATTTAATCAATTTGCCTTCATTTGATTTGCAATATAAGAAACCAATTTGTTTACTGCCAATCCACTTCATTAGGACGAGTGGGGGACCGTCCGAGGAGGTGAGTGTACACGAGCATGTCAGCAAACTAAACAAAAAGCCATTGATCCATTAACTGGAAGCCGCCTTGCCACTGAAACACAAACTCAATCAATCAGAGCTCTGGGCTGCTCAGCTTCTCAGCCTTTGTTTGTTCACATATAAACACAGTGTCCAGGGTGGGCGAGAATAAAAAGAATACTTACCATGGAGAGTTCAATGGGGTCAAAGGAAAATGTCGCCTGGCTTCAATTAACCGGGCTTTGTTCGCACAATTGGCAGCCATAAACTGCAGGCGCCGAGACAGCTTGCCAGAATTAATTAATGCTCTCATTATGAACAATGAACCATGATTTTCTACATCATAAAATGTATATAATAAAATATATTTCAGTCATTAAACAGCTATCATTTATAAGCTTATTGGCTTTTAGTAAAATATTTTAAGACAAGGTCCTAACTATAATCTATTTACAAGCTTTTTGGCACTCGTCTTTCGACCTAAATAGGTTTTTTTTGTCTGGGCATCCAAAATAATCAATATCAATGCATCTTTTCTGCCGTTTCACATAAGTCCACATCGTTGTGGGTGGTTTTCGGCAAGGCCCTCCATTACTCTGAATTGCATCACAGGTGTCTGTTAAGAAAAAAAATATTTACAATTATTCACAAGTGTTTATTTAAAAACCTTTTTCGTAGCCAGCCACGGTTGGAATGTTGGTTTCTGATAAGATGGCAACGAAAAGTAACAAAAATGTGGCATTCATTTGTTTTCTTTCACGTCAAGATTGCTATTCGATGAATTCATATTCGGTATTAAACAAGAATGCATTTTAATTTACTTAACACCGGAAACATTCCATTAGTCATACTATAATCAGCTTAAAAATTCAATTCAAGTTTCTGTTCGCAAGTTTATCCATTTTTCCTTCAACTCCCTTATCATCTTGGTTTGAGTACTAATTTACTTAGTTGAGAAACTTTTGGTCTATTTATTTAGGTAATTATTTGAAATACTGACATTTGATTGATTGGCCACTGGTCGAGCTCAAGGACGATATTAGAATATATACCCATAAGCCATTAAGTCTTTGATTGATTCCGGCCCAGGCTTTGAACTGATTTGCTGGCCAGAGAGCGACGCTTCCTTCCAGGCTTTTCATTCAGGGGATCCTTGGCCCCCAACTGCTCCTCGGGAAACTTTATGTTATGCTCAAACATAAATCATGCATGAATGTGGGAGAAAAGCGATTCAAGTGGATTGGGAAGCAGAGACAGGCTACATAACTTTGAGCCAAACTCCAACGAACAACAGGCGGCAGCAAATTGCCCAACAAATCAATCAAATCCATCTGACAGAGCTGCAGGAAAAGTCGAGGAAAGTTCTGTTTGCTTCACAGGACATGTATGTAAATGAAGGCCGGATGAAATCGAAAGCTCTCTGGGCTGCCATTAAAGCGGTTCGTTGAACAGAACTTGGCAAGACACCCAAGATGGGCCACGATGATGGCCAATGATGTGGCTCGATAATTTAGGCTCAAGTACCAGGCCTGGATCAAACTTTAAAGTTGCGAAGATGACTGAGGGGAAAGTCCCATGAAATATTCATGCCTGGCTCCGTATTCCCTTTGAACCTTAAATATGAACAGGCCACAGGCTGCATAGTTAATCACTTCCTAGGAACAATGCCGTCTTAAGCCTTTTCAAGCTTTTCCGTAATGACTGAAAATTCTCCTCATGAATTATAATAAAATATCAAGAATACGCCATGTGGGCGCTGGCTTTGTGTGTTTATGAAATTCATATTCCTGGCCACTTTCTAGCCTACTTGGTATTCGCCATGGGCAATAAACATAAACATTAAAGCAAATTATTCCCACTCAAGTGAACTCAACTTCCAATCGACTTCATTATGCCACCTGCTCCTCAAAAAAAGGAGCCACCTGCTCATCTGTTTCTGGATCCGCCCCTGCAGTCTCAACTTTAATTGCCAGGACTCTGCTCCTTGAATTTTCTTCTTTGTTTACTTTGCCTTTGCAATTTTCCTTCACAAATTTTTTCCCACCGCCCGTAATTCTCAGTCTTTGTTTATTTGTGCCCTGAGACTGCGCATATTTTGCCTTCAAATTAATTGTTGACATTTGCATCAACAAAACAAAAATGTACCGGAAAAATAAATGATAAAAATAAAAAAAACATTTGTTTTTGCGGGTCTGTGAAAGAGTTGGGTTTCTCCCTTCTTCACTTCTCCAGAACTTTTCTTATTAATTAGGTAAACTGTGAGTGAACAATGTTATTTGCTTTCTCCTCATTCCACTTGGTTAAGTGAACGTTTCAGAAAAAACTTTGTTGAGCGGGAAAGGCAGAACTACTAGAACAAATTTGTTATCGGATGGTTACTTAATCGCCTTGAATTTAAACAGCTTCTTCAAGGCCCCAATATGTCCAAATTGTTCATCAATTTTGTGCTGTCAAGAAACAACAAGGTATGCTAAAAGGTAAATTAAAAAATCAGGGGATCCCATCAAGAAAAATTGACAAAAAATCTAAAAAATATTTTGCATCAGGACTTTGATGCAGAATGGTGGAGAATCTACAAATCGATTAAGGTACTCCGCTTGAGAATAGGATCAGGATTGGAGAAGATATACCCATCACTGTGGCCCATATAGGGGAAAACACCATTTTCAAGGGATCCCATCACGAAAAATGGACAAAAAATCTAAAAAATATTTTGTCTCAGGATTTTGATGCAGAATGGTGGAGAATCAATCTACAAATCGATTAAGGTACTCCGCTTGAGAATCGGATCAGGATTGGAGAAGATATAGCCATCACTGTGGCCCATATAGGGGAAAACCCCATTTTTAAGGGATCCCATCACGAAAAATGGACAAAAAATCTAAAAAATATTTTGTCTCAGGGTTTTGATGCAGAATGATGGAGAATCGATCTACAAATCGTTTAAAGTACTCCGCTTGAGAATCGGATGAGAATTGGGGAAGATATAGCCATCACTGTGGCCCATATAGGGGAAAACACCATTTTCATGGGATCCCATAAGGAAAAATGGACAAAAAATCTAAAAAATATTTTGTCTCAGGATTTTGATGCAGAATGATGGAGAATCAATCTACAAATCGTTTAAGGTACTCCGCTTGAGAATCGGATCAGGATCGGGGAAGATATAGCCATCACTGTGGCCCATATAGGGGAAAACCCCATTTTTAAGGGATTCCATCACGAAAAATGGACAAAAAATCTAAAAAATATTTTGTCTCAGGATTTTGATGCAGAATGGTGGAGAATCAATCTACAAATCGATTAAGGTACTCCGCTTGAGAATCGGATCAGGATTGGAGAAGATATAGCCATCACTGTGGCCCATATAGGGGAAAACACCATTTTCAAGGGATCCCATCAGAATTATGTTACTCTCATAAGGATTGGCCAACCATATCCGATGTGTGCAATATGTATCCCGTTTTAACTGCAAGGGTGTATTAACTTCTGCTCCGCCAAAAGTTAGCATTTCTTTCTTGTTTTACATTATTTTTACATATCATTAAAACCCATCCGCCCTTCTTTTGTCCAACTATTTTCCTTTTCTATTTTTGGAGATGCGGCTTAGACCACATAGCTAACCAAATGCATTACACAAATTGTTCGTTTATGGCTGGCAGAAGTAAAAATCGTAGCAAAAACCGCATATAAAAACTATTAGGGCATCGCTCCGGGCTCCTGTAGAATATGACAAACATTTTGGCTCCGCAGCCCGCTTCCTGTCCAAAAGTCCAAAGGTGGAACATCTGTCAGCGGCATTCGGGCGCGTCAGCCAGCTCAGACATGTGGGCGCCACCAGGGCGACATTTTGGCAACATTCAATGGCCCGACTATAAAATGTAACATTTATATAGCGACTAGTTGATACCTGGCTCTAAAATCTGATACCTGGCTCAACTCTTTATACTTTATGGTTTATAGAGATAGTTTCATATATGCTGTTAAACCTAAATCTTGTATTAAACTACTTTTGGGATCAAAATTTGCTTAAAAACTATACATTATCATACACTTTTACTTGGGTATTGTTGAATTTAAAGGGTACAGAAAAAAATTGCATCACAAACTGGCTGACAAACATTTTCCACTCATTCGGAGCGACAGGAAAAGGATCAGAGACACCGACACCGACATGGACATGGACACGAACACGACCCTCTTACTCTCACTGGCACTGGTAAAGGGATTGACATTTCAATCTTTACTGGAATTGGGTTGCATTGGGTGCAAGTTGTGAATATCGCACAAGGACACACTCGTCTACCACCACCCCCACCCCTCTTGAGGACATCGCTTTATCGTCTTATTTCGTGCATATTTCACAAATTGCATCCGTTTGTCGCATTTGGCAGCCATATTGCATAGCTAAACAACTTCCGCACGACTGATTGTGAGTCAATTACAAAATTGCATTTTTCCCCACGGGGTTAGGACAGCTTCTAGGACGCGTTGTATGGGGGCTTTGGTAGTTTGGAGTTTCATTCATTAGGCCAAAAGAAGCAGCCGAAATTGGCTCCGAAAATGGGTAACAACTTGTATTGCTGTGCGAGGAAAAGTTTTATTGCGGAAGTACAAAGCTGCATATGCATGAAAAGAAGTTTGCAATGAATACACAATTTATTTAATTAATTTTTTATAGCCATAGTTTGTCCGAAATCTAAAGTGATTGTGATAAGAAATGTCATAAAATAAATTACTTTAATTTAGAAGAAATAACATTTTATGTTTCATTGTTGCTTTGGAAAAATGTTCTGGGAAAAAACGAATTCCAGCCGTGAGAGGTCAACGTAGACCTCACCTAACGAACCATGAGTTGACCCCCATCTTTCCATAGAAACCATTAGCAACATCAACATGGAATGACCCAAAACTATTCCGTCTCTCTATCCACCAAAGGGACGGAGTTGTTTGACCCTCCGGACTAAGCGAAGATTTGCAGCGGAGTCACGTAGGGGGAATAAATTTTGTATGACATTGCTGGAGCCAGTAACCAGTAACCAGTAGCTAGAAGCCAGGATGCCTGGATCCCGGGACCAGGATTCCAGGAGCCTGCCATCAAAGTAGCGCAAATTTGTAACGGTAATTTAGCTACGGCATCCATCGGATTTCAGCTCTGGGGGATGAGTACTAAGTAGCCTGTTCCATATTTCACGCAACGACTACAAAACAGACATGACCACGCCCCGTTGGTGAAAACCCAGAGTTCTTGGCTCCCTGCCGCCCTTGGGGCACCACCCACTCTGCCCCATTTCCCAACTGCCCCATCCATTAGACGCCAAATTGAATTAAATGTAAAAATCTTTTGCACGCAATTGAGAAATGGAAAAGTGCAAAATAAATTTATAGACATAAATATGAAAAGAGCGAAAGATGCCGGACAAGGGGGAAATACTTTTCAGGACTTTTTTACGACTTCCATAGAAATTAAAATGCCATTTAATGCTGGTGGAATATAAATTAAATGACCGCATTTCGTTGGCGTTTTATGTTTATATCCTACGGTGTCCCTGGCTCTGATTCTGCCAAAGTGAAGCTCTGGAAAAGCCCTGGAAAAGCAGCTAGTCGATTTGCCGGTAAATTGAATTGGCATAAAGGCAAGCCGAAACTGAAAGTTCTGGCCAATCCCCCAATTTGTGCTCCCCAGCCAATCCAATCGACGGTTGTCTGGTTTTATGGCTGAAAATTTATACTCGCATTGTCTGCAACTCGGCCGGAGTCAAAAACCGTGCCGCATTTGTACTGTAGTTCGATTCGGCGGCATGGGTGGATACTCAGTTGGCAATTGTTTATGCCATTTAAATTTGTTATGCCCATTTTATGTCTCTTTGTGGTTTTAATGCCAAACTTTTATTTATGTCTTTCCCTTGCTTGAGTCGTTGGTCACGCCAATTGCATTTGATTAGGTTTTTTTGTTTGCTTAGTTGCCGGCCGTCGATTACTGTCCCGGATAAGCAAAGAAACATGAGTAATTCCACTTGGGCCTGGCAGAAATATTTTTGGCAAATTAATTTCAGAGCGATACGTACTTAGTCGAGAAATAAAAAGTTGGTTTATTGAGTGCAATAAGCTGGAATGACTCAATCATGTCCCTGGACACAAAATTAGATGGAGATGGCCATCCGAATTTACCTGAGTACCTGTGTAAATTACTTATTGCAGTTGGCACTGAGATATGGCCAGGTACAGGAGTAACCGGTTGTGTTGATTTTGCGACATTTAAGAAGATTTATGGCCACACCTCGCCTGCAAATGGCCGCCCAACTCGAGAGTTGGCTTAAACGGGAGTTGCAACGGTTGGCACGGAGGCTGGCATGGGGAGCACGGGGGCAACAAGAAGAAGATTCGAGTTGGGCAAATTGCCGAAAGTCATTAAGTTTGCGCATCGGTGCAACAGCAATGAGATTTCCTCACCTGCAACTGGGTCTTGGGGTCAGGCAACAGCGGAAGGCGGAAGGGCAGAGGCGGGAGCGACTTAAAGGGCTCATTTTTATGCAATCCCCAGTCAAGGACCCAAGGAGCAACCCAACTTCTTGTGCGGCTCTTTCTCTGGCTGAGACTGGGACTGAGAATGGGGCTGCCATAAATATAATTACAGTTTCATTTCCGTTTCAACTCGAAAATGGGAATTTGGCAAGCAGGCGACGACTTGGCTCAGACTCTGGCAACACGTGGCGTATGAGTAATGCATGGCCTTCAACGAGAGGCCATCTGCTCGCAAATTGAACTCCACCACTGCATAGCAGATGTATTAAGAGGGTAACCATTGTACATACATTAACATTAAGATTGCAGATAATCAATACACTAGTCTTGTTTTGTAAAAATATATTAACATTTGTGTTTGGATGTATGTACAAAATAAGGCATTAGACGCTTTTAAAGAAGTAGTGTGAGCAGTTGAGTGAGTGAGTATCAGTATCAAGTATTATACTTCAAGCTCTATCGAACCAGCCTGAAACCCATGTAGATACAGACGGCCAGGCAGCAGCACAAGAAGCTGCATCGCACTTTTTCCCCATCCAGTGTGCCCCGATGATCGCAGAGCATCAGGTGAATAAGGTGCCGGATGAAACCGATGGGGGAGCGTTGAGTGACCAGAACTTCTTCGCCCTCCAGCCGCTCGTCTTCATCCTCGCTGGCTTCGCGCAGGGGCACCTTGCTCATCAGCTCCACAATTTCATCCCGCACACCCGGCGGCAAACCTTCCTCTAGGTAATTGATGGTGTTTAGCTCCAGCTCGTGCTCCGCCTCTCTCTCGCGGGTCCGCTCCGCCGCCGGGATCGGCTGGAACTGGATACCCTGGCTGGGGCCTGCCACGGTCTGCCACCCCTGCCAACGCCAAAACCAACGGAAGGGTGACGCCCAAGATATCCTTTCGGCGGGTCGTGAAATGGGCTCCATGGGAACCAGAATGGGAAAATCGTGGTAAATGGATGGACTCTCCATGCTCGCGAACTCGACGCGAGGTGGAGCATTCGAATGGGTCGCGGGACGGACAAAGTTCTCCACCGGACGCAGATCCTCTCCAACGGTAGAGTGAAGTTTCTTGTCTAGCCGAAGATTACAGAAGGAGCGCTCTGACAGCGTGTCCCGCTCCGACTCATGGCTGCTTTGGTAGTCCGAGTCCTCCAGAGGATCCCCTATGGAGGCTTCATCTTCAGAGTCTAGGTATCTATTATGATTCTGGTAGGAATCTTGATACATATCTAGCATATTCTGATTATCCTGACTTTGGCTTGTCTCCCCATGAGCAGCCTCATTGGATGTTATTGTATTCTTACCCGAACTAGTGGTTTCTTCACCGCCACCCTGGAACCGCCGCAGTGTCTCGCCAATCTTCACACTGTACTGCCGTGCCGTGTTTAGGGAGAAGGGCATCTGGAAGCCCAGGATGTTGGGACCGCGATCCGAACTATCGCAGGGTCTGTACCGACTGGGATCGATATGCCGGTTAGACCGAGGCGAAGTCCTTTCGTTGAAGGACCCCGGAGTTGGCCAGTACGTCTGCGGCGGAGGCGACTGGACCTCTGGCACACTGAAGTTCGTATAATGTTGCTGGGGCGGCGGCTTAGACCTGGGATTGTCGTAACTCAAACGAATCTGTAGCTCCCTGGCGTACTGCTCCTTAGCCCGAATCTTGGCCCTCTCCCCGATCAGAGCCACGTGCAAGTTCCACTCGGCCAGGCGCCGATTTTGACGAGTGATCGGCCCAATGTCGATGTTGTGGCTCTGGCACATTATGGACAGCTGCGGATCGGATAGCTGCTTAATATCCTCGTATATGGGACGTAAAGAATGTTTGGGTATCATGGTGATGGCGGATAGAGCATAATTTAATTAAAACAAAATAACTGAGAATTTTAAACGGAACTCTTACAAACTTGGCTCTAACAAACTAGTGTTTGCCTAAAAGTATTTCCAGGCATTCTAGCTTGAAAAAGGGTTCTGTCAGTATTCTGAAATCAAAATTCCGTGGCTATTTATATGTGTTTTCTGTTGAGAAGTAGGGAGGCTGTGGCTGTAGGGTTCTCCTAGAGTGTATATAAGAAATATAGAGTTTGTCTTGAGGGTTTTCCCATGACAAACTCTTTATTGGAAAATAAATCACAACTTTCGGTGCTATGGAAACGAACCTGACAAACGAAAAAGTTGAAAAGTCATCGAGATTTTCTGCTACTTTGTTTCTATTTTATTTTATTTTATTTTGTTTTGATGACCTGGCTGCATTTCCCAGCTCAAATGTAAAGTTTTTCTTCCGCCATTCGGTGTCCCCCTTTTGATGGGCCCCCAATTCGATATTTGTGGAGCTTTGTTTTTCGTGATGGCCTTTTGTTTGTTATTTTTTCTGGAAAGAGTCGGTTTATGGATAAGGGTCTGGCATGGGTAGGCGGAAAGTACACACAGATGGGACCCTGGATAGATCAAAGCAATGGTAACTTTGGGGGTACAAGGGCTCCCCTTTAATAGAGCTACAACTTTAGTGTATTTTTATGACAGGTTGGGAAATTGTTGCAAATAAAATATCTAATTTGCTTAGATTTACCTGCTTTGTTAAAAAATGTGAAGGGGAGTAAATAAATTTACAGAAGTTTTAATTTGAACTTAAACTAAATCTAAAACTTGGTATGAGAAAAAAAGTAAACAATTTTTAAGATATATATTTTTTAAATGCTAAGGTTCTAAGCCAACGCCACCTATCTTAAACCCGACAAAAGCTATAGAAGTTATGGCCGCTTTTGGAAGCTTTTATTTGGTTGTAAACCCTGTAGGCCAGTGGCTCTATAACCTTTGAGGCAGTTACCAAGTCAAAGTAATTGTTTTTCAAAAAACACCAAGAGCTCTTGTAATATTCATAAAGATTTATTAGTAAACATATATTTAGACTACACACAACTACAAACATTTTTAGATGATTCGTAACCTAAACAATTCTTCGGTTCTTATTCGTCAAACTTTATTTTTGCAGAAAGCATGGCAAACATTTTAATAATCTTATGGCTTTTGTATTTAAATATTTTTATGTTTGGCTTTTTCTACCAATATGACCTAATTTAAGTTTTAGTTTTTTTCGTTTTTGTTTTGTTTTGCATAAATGTAATAAATAATGTGTTACGTATATAAATTGAATGGCTGTCTGATTATTGCAGCGCTCTATTATTGTCATTCAAGAATTTGTTTTCCACGCTTTAAATATAAATATTTTGCATAAAGATTTATGTATGTATACTTAAGCTATTAAGTATTTACAAAGCTCAACTATGAACACGAACTTGTAACGGCAATAGAAATTCTGATTCTGATTCGATTTAATTTTCTTTTGGCTTGTATGGCATTAGACATTTATTGGCTATTGCTAGTTTCCTATTCGTCTTTTTGTTTTTTTTTTCAGATTTGAAATGTTTGGATTCTAGGTCTGAACACTGTATATAGAATAACTTTAAAGAAATACTAGTTACGAATCTCATGGATCTCAACAATTTGCGACCTAAAAAATGCGATTTCTTGGCTTTGCTTGCTTTGACTTAACTTTTGTGTCGTTTCGCTGTTAATACTAATCATATGGGAGAATGTAATGCAAATTTGAACTCAATATAATTTAATTATATTTAAAAATTATTTACACCATGAAAGTATCTCTAATTTAGACGATAAATGTTCTTTTGTTTTCGATCTTAAATCATATGTATATTCTGTGCTTGCTGCTGTCTCGATTTAATTTATTCTTGGGAAAAACAAACTAGTTAACGAATATGTCACTTAAATTCGTTGCTGGCTTAGTACTTGTACTCTGGCAGTCCCCCGGCCCCGTGCCCAAGGGATCTGCTTCAAATTAATCAATCTGGAAATTAGATGCGACTTGGTCACCCATAATTATCCGCAAACAAACGTGATGCATCCACCCCAGCCTGTCACCTCTTCAGCAATGACCCACTTAAAACTCCACATCATCGTCGTCGTAGTCATCGCTGTCGCTGTCGTTGCTGGGGAGGATGTGGAAACATGCCCACAGTCGGGCCATGTCCACTCATCGTTTGCGGTTATAGGCGCCAAGCGAAGACTGCCTTCATTCCTTCATCTCGTGGCCATTGGCCCCCAGCTCGAGGAGCTCATGGGGCTCGGCATTAATCTGTTGGGAGGAGATCTATTGTTGAATTTAAATACAAATATAGCTAAAGGTCCTGAGAACCTGGACTTACCCTGTCCACACTGGCCAGATCGTTCTTTGACAGATGATTAACCAAAATTGTGCCCAAGGCGTCACACATCACGTTGATGGTGGTACGGAAGCGGTCGCTAAGAGGGTGAAGAATTTGTAAATATAGCTATTTAGATAGTTTATTTCCTCAAACTTACAGTAACCAATCCACAGCTATGATGAGGGATACATCCTTTGGCTCCAGACCCACCGTGTCCAACACCATGACCATGGTGACCAGACCAGCCTGGGGGATTCCGGCAGCTCCGATCGATGCCGCGGTGGCTGTTATGCTCACGGCCACAATGGTGCCAAAGGAGTAGCTCATCTCACGGTACTGGGCAATGAAGAGAGCAGCCACGGCCTCGTAGAGTGCGGTTCCGTCCATGTTAATGGTGGCACCGACGGGAATGACGAAGCGAGTGACACGCGGATCGATACCCATGCTGTCCAGACATTTGATGGTCAGGGGCATGGTGGCCGAGCTGGATCCAGTACCGAATGCCGTGGCCAAGACCTGACTCAGTTTGGCAATAAAGCGGTAGGGCAGACGTCGAGTTCCCAGGAAGAAAATCACAGCAATGGTGCCTGTTGAAAATGGCAATATCCATATTGAAGAATTAGAATAAAGTTTTATTTTCTGAATCTTACCAAAACCATGCAGGAAAAGACCGATCATGACCGTGATGAAGTACCATCCCAAAGACTGTATTGTTGCTGCTATCGATTCCATTTCAATAATTTTGGCGGCAATCAGGAAACCCACTCCAAGAGGAGAAATCCTAAAGAGATTAATTATTAAATAACTAGCATTATTCAAATTTGTTTTGGATTACTTACCAGATCACCCAGGAAGTGATAGTCATCATAGCTTCGCTCAAGGTGGTAAAGAAATCCTGGAGCAGTTGACCCTTTTCCCGCATTCTGCCTATGGTGGTACCCAGAATAACACTGAACATGACCAAACCCAAGACATTGGAGCCCTCGCGTTGAGCCGACTTGAATTCCCAGTTCTCCATGGGCTCTGAAGAGAATATCAATGATATTTAATATTTAGGCTTCCTTGAAGTTCCAAGAAACTTACGTGCTGGGCTAATGGTGGTGTTCTCATAGATCTCAGTGCGGTGCTAAGAAAGAAATAGGTTTTCAATATTATTTTTTTGGTTAAGCACCTTGGGTTAATTAATATTAAAGCTATTTAACTTGCTCAACTCACTGATAATCGAAAAAGACATGTTTATGGGCTTTGTCTGAACTCTGAGACCACAAAAAGTTCACCAGTGACGTGTCAACAAAAAATTCCCATCCTCCCATCTTCTGTGGCGATTTTGCAATAATATTTTCCATATTTGTTTCATTGGAAGGTTGGACTTGCATTAGCGAAAGTCGACGTTGTTTTTTATTCCCCTTCATTGAGTCAACAATAATCTAATTGTGCGCATGAATATTCATTTGGTTGCCTACCTACATCAACATACTACACGGACAATGTATAATAAATAGTATATGTAAGCATATAATTATATATTTATGTGGAGGTACAATGTCCACATATCTGCCACACAGGCACAGCTAAGTACTTTGATTCAATTTGCGTCTGGGGTCTCCTAAATCGTGCTGATCTGACCACTCTGATACTCATTCACGTTCTCTGGCTGTCTGTCACCGTACTATATATGCGATAATTGAAATTTAAGCACAGACCCAGGCACATATTCACAGTCACACCGGAGCGAAGCACTCGCTGGCCAGTCCCCCTTCTTGATGCTGGATCGTAATTGAAATTGCGGTATCCCTATCATGACAGTTTTGATTATGTGTCGCGCTTTGTTTCAATCAAAATCACACCAAACCGCAAAGAATTGAATAATTGCTACCGCTACCACAGATATATGTATTTTTCTATTCGTTTACTTTGGCCCACAGTGCGTATGCTTGATGCAAGTGGAAGGGGCAACTCACCTGGAACATGGTTGACTGAATAATGTTGTCCGTGAACATGTTTCTATTTAGAAGAAAATAAAATTAATCAGCTATAGATAATAAATCGTTTAATAATCACGTACCGCACCAGATCCATTAGGGTATCGGGAGTGAGCACCTTGGAGGCCTTGTCAATGCTCTCCGTCTGGGTTTCCACGATCTTGGCTCCCTGGCCGGGACGCAGTGTGGTCACCAGACAAATGCCCAGAATGACGGCCGAAATGGTGGTCACAAAGTAATATGTGATGGCTCTGGAATATAGAGGTTTCTTTTTGTAAAGGTATTTAATAACGAGGTTTCTTTTAGCTCACCTGGTGGCAATTTTGCTGGACATGCTCAAGTCCAGGCCACCAATGGCACTGGTAATCGAAGACACCAACAAAGGCACAATCAAGCACTTCAGCATTCTAGAGTTATAGATTTTTAATTGGTTTTTTGAGACTGACTTTCCTATATCTTTTACTCACCTCAAGAAGATCTCTCCGGGGAAGGATATGTACATGATCTCACGCTTCGTCCACTCCCCTGTGCTGTTCTTGATGATGAAGCCAACGAGTCCGCCCACAAAGACACCAATAACGGTGGCCATGGTGAGGACGTTCTCCTGCATGAAGGCCTTGAACTTGCTCTCATCCTGCTTGGGTCGCGTCATGGCTGCGGTCCTTTGTTTTTCTTGGGGCTAGGGTTATGCAACCCTGAATCCTCCTGGTAGCCCTCTACAAGCAGTCTTTGCGTTAGACCAAGGCAATACTCTGCCAGGAATAAAAAACTAAGTCAACAATTAAGTCACCTGAAAGTAAGGATTTGAGGATGAATAAGGATGTTTTGAATTCTCCTCGAAAAATCACCTAAGAAAAGCTCAACTTTTATTATCTAAAGTTTTTCTATAAGGAATTGAGATAGAAAACGAGTTCCATCCAGGGGACAGATGTTTTCGAGGGGGTTACTCTGTAGCGTTTCCTCCTCACGGGGCGACCAACGATCGACGACTGAGCTTTCGCACAACGCAGATATTTACAACCCCCGAAATGATTCGCATCGGGCAGCTGGGCTTTTGTGTGATTTATGGTCACCCCTTTGCCCTGGCGAGGGGTGTTACTTTTGACACGAAGCCGGACGGATGTTGTTCAAGGCTGGGCTTATTTCAAAAAATATATTTTTTTTTGAAAAATGCTTCTTTCGAGAGAGCGTGGCGGAAGGAAGTTTGATGTTTGGCAAACTCAAACATTGCCAAACAATTATTAAGCTGACGCCTGCCAGTTTCTCACTTGGCTTTGACACTTTATCACACAATGCACAAATGTGCTAAAAACAAACGAATTGCAACTCAATTAATCGAGGCGTTGGAGCAGCAATGGAAAACAAGTTCATCGGAAACGTGCCAAACAAATAAATTTACATAAACGATCCAACGACGACTAATAGAAACTAATTCCCTGTCTTGAGTGGGTGCAAGGGCGGAATGTAAACAGCACACGGAGATCAATATGATGCGATCCGATAAAGTCGGGCTTCATCTCGGGAAAGTGACCCAAATTGTCAGCCAAGCGAATCATGGTCATCGCCATATATCCTCTCAATTGGGACAACCATTCCGGATTAATCAACAAAATTGTTCGCACTTTGCAATTACTTGGCCAATTGTATTGCAATTGAAGTGACGGCAAGAATGAGATTGAGATCACTTTGGTCTAGTAATAGAATTAGATTAGAGTGACTAATAAAGTGACTAAAAACCCTTGTGGTGTTATTCCATTCCAGGAACTTTTTCCTTGAAAAGTTAAATGGTCTTTCTGAAGCTTAGATTCCAAACCATTTGTTAGTTAGTTGTAAAGAAATTAAGCGATAAACCAAGTACTTAGAATTAAAATAAAATGGTTTGTCTAAAGATACCTAAACAGCTTTTTCCAAACGCTTTTAGTAAAATTTATTGTAGGCATTTGTTTACTTTGTTTATTGGAACTTTTTTCCACCAATAAAATCATTAACAAATTCTGAAACCAGTTTCAAGTAAATTTCCCTTAACCTGTAGCACCTAAAAAATTAAATTTTCCTTTAAATAAACAACATTTAAATCTCCACTATGAGATCACTGATGACAATTGTCTGGTGGCTCCACACCCTTTGGACAACAGATGCTATGATAATGCCATTATGTGTCTGATAGGCCCCTCGGTCGGGTATCTGCGGTTGTGCCTAATTGATGTAACTACAGAGTGGCTCGTCTCTGAGTGGATGATTGGCATGTGCCCAGGTCGACTGGGTGGATGGGTAACAGGTGTCTGTATATTCCATTGATATATGTAGAGGCCTTTGACGGAGAGCGCTCAATTTTATTTTCCGTACTTTGTCAGCCGTGTCATATCATTGAAAGGTACAGGGTGTTTAAATCGAATGGTTTTGGGTATTTTTCTGCCTTTGATTGAAAAGGGTGAGAGGTGGCTGGGCCAAGTTTAACTACCGATAAGAAATTAATTTGATTAATAAAAACCCGAGCAACTTGAGTGTGTACTTGGAGTGCAGTCGCGCACAGTTGCACTACAAAAACTAATTTATTTAGCAAGCCCCGTTTGGAAAACTGATTAAATCGCCGTTGTCTGTTTGGTTTAATTTTTATTCATATTTTTCACTTTGAACTTGACCGTGAGTAAGGCAAATCAAATTGTTTACATGCATATTTATACACTCGTATAGTATGTAGGCAGAAATTGCGTTTGTTTTTATAGAAAAAAAAATGTATTGCAGTTGTCTTTGAATTTCAATTGCAGCGGAAGTAGCATTGATCCATGGACGTCGCCATGGCAATATTCACATAATTAAAGTACATTGCCAAAAGGATGGTTTTCACCCGAAGCGGAAATGAGAAAAACTACCATTATTAAAGAAACGTGATAGCTCTTTTGACATCCACCCCGCCCGTGATCGTGGGTGAACTTGAAATCTTTGGCTTCGTTAGCGAGGCACTAAACCCCGAAGCTCTAATTGGCCCGAAAACGGGAGCTGCAGTTCCCAGCAAGTCAGATATATCATTTCATAAACATTCCATACGTGTGTTTATGGAAAATCGTCTCTTCGCCATCTTTTTTGTTGATTGGCAGGCAGTTTACATGATCGCAGCAGTCTATTATTGTTGTCGGTAGTCAAACACAAATATCTATATCTGAATAAGTGAACATATATCCAGAGATGCATACTAATTAACGTCATATAATCTGACTTATATAACGCGCTTTTACTACCCAACTAATTAATGCAATGCAAACTGTGTTCCTGAGAGCCCATGTTCGAGTTTCAGCCAATTCATTGTCAATGCAAATTGATTTGCATTGGGCGGGGGTGGGGTCAGACGAGGGGCTACGGGGAGGCGAAGGCTGACCCCACCCATTTGTCTTTTCCGATGTGAGGAAATTCATTAATAAAACGTAAGTCTGGGGAGGGGAGAACCAGTTGAAACTGACCCGATCTTGGCTAAATATGTCTGGTGGAGGCGGTTGTTGTTGTTGCATGTTAATGAAAAATATTATCACAATTTATGAACTTATAATTGCAAATTTCTTAAGAACTATAAAATAAGTTTAGGCTTTGATTTTTGATTAAAAATTCCTTAAGAAATGCTTAACAGGTTATAAAATCGACATCTTTTCATCTTTATGAAATAAAGTTTTCAAGCCAATGAATAATCATAATTTAAAAAAAAGATTACTTTATTAAATATATTTTTATGACGCTATAATCTCGACCTCTCCACGACGCAGTAATCTACAGACTGTCTGTCTGACTATCTCGAAACGGTAGCCCCACAATTTCCATAAACTTTTACTTTATCAAGATTTGTTCGAGTTCCGCAAAAAACCAAAGAGTTAAAAAAGCACGAAACTACATTTCCAGACTTTAAATCAAACTGATTCATTAATGGTTATCTGGCTGGTGATTCGGCAAAAATTAATCTAGGGAAATACTAAAGACAGACATGTGACACTCAAATATTTAAATTTTAAATATTATCTGTCTCATGCATTTCGCGGAATAATTTCTCTCGTTTTCGCTTACTTTTTCCTACTCGTGAGAGAACATAAAAGTATTTTGGTGCATCGCACAAATAAAGTGCATTGTGGGCTAAAAATAAAAATAATTAAAAAGAAAGCGAAAGACACATAACCGCGTAAACGGGCGGACACGCCCCCGTCGAGGCGTCGGTGGGCGCTCAATCAAGGTTAGTCGGGCGGCAATTCAGAATCTTATCAGTCTCATAAATCGGAAATTATTCACGCTTCTCTCTTGTGACCCGCGAAGAGTAAATCGATGATGATGAGAATTCAATCACGGCAGTCGATGTCTACCAATATGGTTTTATAAAATTTTTAATCCCGATTTTTAGGGAATTAATGCTAATACAGGATACCAGTAAACCCAATAAAAACTTACCCACCACCAGGAGGTATTTAAAGGTAAGAGGTACTAAGGAACCGAGTCCTTTTCCTTTATAAACTTTATAAAACTATAATATTTTTTAAAATATTTCAGCACTGCACATTATTGTCATTATATTATTTTTCTTGTAGTTTATGAATAGTTTTCTAGCAGTTTTCCGAAACACTTACTTTCAAAAGTATTCACATTTGCCGCAAGCTGGGCAACAGCTTTTGAAAAACCCTTTTTCGGGGCGGAGGATCGAATCGGATGGGTTCGAAATGGGATCGGGAGACGCGATGTCTCGAGCACGCGGCGATCGTGGGACTACTATATCTGTATATCACTCACACCGATCTGGTCTAGTCAGCCCTGCTGGCAACGCAGTAGAACCTGACTCGTCGGTTTGCAAAACAGTACTAAAACTAAATCGAAATCAAATTCGAATATAGTCAGCTACCGCGCAAATTGTTCTGCGGCAGCGACGCCAACGACGGCATCCGTCTCAGCGGGTGTAGTGTGTTTGTGTGTGTGTGCGGGGGGGGGTTGACTTTCATTCATCAAAAGCAGCTGTCGCTGCCGCAGCTTCAGCCTCTGCTAAGCTTGGTGGCTGCTGACTGCTGACTGCGCTGCTCTCACCGCATCTCACGTAACGTATACGCAGTGTAGGCCGCGTAATTTATCGTGCCTTGTTTCGCTTTCCTTTCCAGGAGTGCAGTGAAAAGGAGCTCATTATTGGCAGCTTCTTGGGTCCTACTTAGAAACGGCATCCTCCTCATTAGACGCTGCATTCTATAACGATTCTCTCTGATCAGCCTCATTTTGTTGTTAATTGCCTCCTGACACAAGGTTACCCACTCCGCTTTCCGCTACAAAAGAAAGCAAGTTTATCTCCAAATCTGGTTTATTACGACATAGCACCAACTTACCGGATAAGTGGGTCAAGTTTGTGCATTTAAATTGTGTCAAAGATCGCAACAAACCACCCCAAAAAGAATGATGATGCCAAACAATGGCCCTTACCATGGACTACTTGAACTTGATTGAGGGTAGACCCCGGGAATACAAAGGGATCGGCAAGAAAGTGGGCAAGATTTAGGACTTAGGTGACCGAAAGAATGTTAGTTGAGCATTTCCGGTTTCATATTCGCCCATAATAAATATCCGCAGCAGAAATATATAGTAATAAAAATCAGCAGCCCAGCTGCAGCTTGGTGCCTTTGATCCGCTTCAATTCGATTTGCCTTGGGGGCCAGTTCCAGTTCCATGCTGGTGGGAAATCGCTGTGGTGAGCTCTAACTGCGGAAGAGCAGGCCAGAGGATGGGATGTGGCTAAGTGGCACGCCGTTGACACCGCTGACCGGAGTCCCTAAACATAGACCGTCATCCACTTGCTGGTCCCAATTCGGTTGGATCGTCATATCTCTGGGGGAGAGGTGTGCTGAGCTGAGATTCGGATCGGCCATGGACAGCACACTCACACATTGGGACCGGAACTGTCGATCTTCATTTTTGACACTGGAAATTTCAGAAATCACACAAAATGTTGAGGTTGGATATGGGATATGTATGTTTTGCATATTATGATATATAAATACCTAAATAATTAGATACTTATCGGTGTTGGATGCGGATGAGCCTTTCGATGGGGCTCAAGGAGCAATCAAGCTGGCAGTGGCCTAATCTTTGTGGGTTTAACAGAATATAGGTACGAGGCAGCTTGTTAAGCAACTAAAATAATACTTTATAGTTATAGAAACTATTAGAAAAAGATCCCTTATAAATAAAATAATAAAAATTGTTTCATTGTTTTAGAAAAACTTAAAGCAATCAACGCCTCAAGCTTCTCCATAAATTAAACATATTTATTTTAATATTAGGTATTATTGATTAAGAATTTCAAGATCACAAATCAGATTTCTTTTAAAATTAAATGCTGTAACATTATCGATTCGATTCGATTCAGTTTCATGTTTGAAATGGCTAAATGGCAACATAAAATACTATAAAATTTGAATGGATAAAAGTAGTTATTCAAGGCGTTCTATTTCTTTGCAATCCTCTCCATTATGGCAACTACACCTGAAGGGTATACAAAACATACAAAATCTTATGTGTAGCTCTAGAGTCTAGACGCTATTTTAAAAGTAAGAGGTAAGATGTTAAAATGGCACCACTACAAATGGATGTATGAATGAAAAGTAAGATGTAGTTTCCAGAAGAATTAACTGCTACTGATAATGATGATGTTGTTGTGGTTATTGTTGTTGTTGCAGCAACAGTTGTTTTGGCAGCAACCACCACCACCAATACATACAGGCAGCGGTAGCAGCTGCCGGATGGGCATTCCTATGGGCATGCTTGTATGTAGGTATGTATGTGTATCAGAAGTTGCTGCGCCTGTGCTGTTTCTGCTTCGACTGGTTGTGGTGCCTCCTCTAGTCCTCCGTCTTGGGGCGTCGAAATAGCAGGATATGTGGCTCTGGCTTGTGGATCATGTAGTGGATCCAACCGCGCGACTGCTGCACCCCGATGGACCGCCACTCGGCCTCCGTCATTAGATGCGTCTTGGGTACCATCTTCACCAGTTCCTTTGGCAGAACCACATGTCTGTCCAGGCGATGGAGGGGAGAGAGGAGTGGGGATATTTTACAGTTGCTCCACTTTTGGACGTTCGCCAGCTTGCGGCCGGCACTCACCTGTACTCGAACTGCTCATCGTAGTATTTGTCTGAATAGTAGATGTCCTTGCTCATGGTGGGCGCTTCTTTTGTGGGATAGTCCGGCGATCGCTAATAAGTTTCTAGAATTCCCAGGAATGTGCAAAAATGCGGCGTCTCTCTACGCAGCCGGGTGAAAGCGGCTTCTTCGGCTAGCTCTTTTTTTTCAGCTTCTATGCAAGGATGGATTATTTACCACTACTTTTACTGTTTCCTCGCGTGCAATTCTATAGTTTTTATAATAACAAACGCTTTTGCGACAGCAATTTACGTTTACGTTTATTTTAAATCAGAAAAAAGTGACGCGGTCAGACAGTGTTAGACAACTCACTTTAGAATTTTTCGATAGACCTGGCTATTTTCAAGCTGCTGGCTAGAGTTTTAGCTATTTATCGATAATTTTTTTGCGTGCGATAGTTAGCAGCTTAATTTTTTTTTATCAAAAACGCTATTTGGCAGTTATTACTAAATGTATTGATTAAATTCTTGTTTCGAAAAAGATTATATTACCGTTTTTGTAAAAAAACGAGAACTGGTTTTAAATGCTATCATGTTAGACATGGTATTCTTACCATTCTTACCAGGTTTTTATTTTAAAATATTGTTTTTAAAATAAGTATCAAAAGAATTAATCAATAATGCGCAGCTTCAAAAGTTAAAGTTTAAATGGTATCCCGCCAAAATATAAAAGTTTACCAACACTAGAGTTAGTCTGTTCTGCCTGACGACAGAGGGCGCTATATAAAGCGTTATAATTCAAATATATTTGTAAAACTCCTTTCTTATTGTATTTATTAAATATGTTATGCTTTTAAAAGATAACTATTGATAAAAATAAAAACGTTATTTATTAAGTAATCTAATTGCAACCTATGATTATTGCAGAAGAAACCTGTGACCACTTGCTTGCTTTCCCACACACCCAACCCAACTGTCAAGCATAAATACTCCGTCCGAATTGTCTGACCATTCCCTTGCGCCCCTGCCACGCCCCCTGTCCACGGGGAAGCCCTTAAAAGGCTGCCCGCACAGACACATAAATTCTCCCAAAATGCGAAAACGGAAGGCGAGGCGTTGGCTCTCAGCTCGTGCGAAATCTTACATAAATTTTGTGGTGCGGACAACACACAAATGGAATGAATGCAAGGAACTTCCCAAAACCAGGAAAACCAATAAAAAAAATGAACAAAAAATGGTGGTGCAATGCATTTAGTTAACGGTGGGAACACTTAAGGATGGCGGTCGTAGTACTGCGCCGGAATGAAGACCCAGTTCTTGGCCAGGTCATTTATGGCTTCCTGCATTAAACGGGAAACAATTTCCATAATGTGGCTGGAAAGAAAAATTGAATAATTAATTTAAATAAATTAAATTTATGGATATTCAATGAGAGGAAATTAAGGCTTAATAATTGGGAACTTAGCGTAAACTAAAAGTAAACTAAGAGTACTAAAAGAAACTAGAGTTTTTGAAGAATCTGTGTACTCTTTTTAATTCAAAACCATTCCATTTTCTCTCATATTTTAGTTTAATAAAAATATTAAAATTGATTCTACTTACTTTCGATCCACTTCTAAGGTATTGTCCGGATTTTGTTCTACTTCCGAGGCAATCACCTGCTCATATGTCTTCACAGTCCTGGCCCGCTTCCGCTCCGCGTTGATGCGCATGAACTTGGACTTGCTGAGATATTTCCAGAAGAGCTTCTCAAAGATGGTGATCCGCTGGTCAATGGCCATGCTGAGCTCTATGACCTCGTTGGAGGTTAGCTTGTTCTTGGCCATTAGCCGGGAAATGGTCTCTTTGCGTTCTGCCTCCTTCCGCTGCTCCTCGAGCATGGCGTGCGACAATACTGGCGCTGGTGGTGGTCCGTCCCCGCCGGCTCCTATCGCTGATGGGGATCTGACAGTGGATCCGGGAGGAATCCCACGACCAAACTGGCTGCAGGGCACCGGACCGGCTGTGGGATCAATCTTGTCGGCAGCATCCAAGTCATCTGTGGCCTCCGAGACGGGCTTCACAAGGGAGCGGATGTTTAGGTGGAGATAGACATGCTCCACGTAACTATCCTCCTTCCACTTGGGGTCGTCAATGGACTCAATCTCCGCCAGCTCCTGCTTGGCGATCAGGGTGGCACGGTCCAGAATGCGATGCACTTCCAGCACAATGGGAATGCGCCGAAAGTGCACCAGGCGGTCGAAAACGGACACCTTGATCTCACAGAGCTTCGAGTGGTGACCCTTCAGCCGGAAAATTGGAGGATTGAAGACCACCGAGAAGAATTCATTGATGATATAGCTGGGAATCGGAAGAAATATATGTTTTGTCTCTAAAGTTGGTAATGCTTTACCTCTGCCAGCGGAACTCCATGCACTTTTGTCCGTAATTGTGGACATTAACCAGCTGAGTCCGATCCTCCCGCAGGCAGACCTCGAAGTTGACTCGGTTGGGATAAATGACATGCAGGAAGTCGACACACTCCCGGTCCTTCAGAGGCATATCCGTTTCCTCCTTGTCATCTGACAGGACTCCCCTAGCCTTGATCTTGTAGCGAGCCTTGGAGGTTTCAAAAGAAAGAAGTAATTCTGCCTAAAAGAGTTAAATTATTAAAAAAGTCACATAATACTATTTCCAAACACTTACCTCATTCTCGTAGTCCAGAGGACGATAGTCCACCAGTAGGGGCCACACACTTTGCCTCGGAACGGTAAGACTCATGTTGAGCAGCTTCATACCCCGATCCCTCGAAGAAAACGAAAATGTAAGGTGCTGCATAGTGATATTCTGCACCCAAATGGGTTGGGTCACATGGTAGTAGTTTCTAATGTTTACCGGAATGAGTTCCTTGGTAAGAAGGCATTTCTCGGGGTCAAAGGCCGAGATCTCTAGCTTGAAGTGCCAAAGAAACTTCCGCCCATCGTCAGTGCTGGAAATATTAAATATAATATAGTATTTTAGGGATTAGAGGACTATTAGTATCCTTACTTGACCTCATAGGTGAGTAGGTGCTCACCGTAGAGGAAAAAGTAGGCAGTAACCGTAAGAGCCACCACTTCATCGGGCTTGATTTTCATGGCCTCCTGGTTAACCTGGAGCAGCCGTCGATGTGGGCAGTGGAAGAGCTGGCGGAACTGATTGAATCCCACTCGAGTTTGCAGCAGCTGGCATTGGCAGTTTTGTAGGCGCTTCAAGGTAAGACCTAGATCCTTGTCGGAGAGATTCTTCACCCAGAAAATCATCTTCAGGGGCTGGCTGTGGATCTGACGAATGGGAACGGCAATAGTGTGTTCATGTTGTCCACGGTTCGAACGTAATTTTCGGTTTAATCTGAAAAAGGGGTTTCAAGTAGTGGATAATCTTTAATATGTTTTCAAACAAACCCTGGTATATCAAAGTTCTCCCAATAGAATATCTTCAGGATTGGAGGTCTGACTATGGTTAGGTTTTCGATCATTAGTTTTTGGTAGATGGGATTGGGCCTGATACCGCCGCCGCAGGGCAGCTTGGGCTTCTCGAAAAAATCCTCAGTCATCTTGTATATAAAAATATAACTACTATTTACACTTATGAGACGCACACACAAAATGCTACTTTTCAGGAGAGTTGTATGTGTTTTTGGTGGAAATTTTTAATGAAAAAGTTTTATAAATAAAGTGCCAAGTTAGATCCAAATTTAAAGTTTCAGCATTCACAGACATTTTCTTTTTTTTTTGGGGATTCTCGAACCTCATAACTCTTGTTGTATTCGTGACCTTATAGAATATTCCATGCTGGCACTCCTTCTGTGTGGCCAAGGAATAAAAAATCGAGGTCCTGAAATGCAAAGTGAGTACCTGGGTGCACACATGCGTGTGCGAGTCCTTCGATAATCCTGTGTGCAATTCGTTTTTGTTTGTGAATTGACAAAGTGCCAAAGGCCAAGCGGGTGGGCAGCACCAAAGGAATAAAAAAAAAGAGCAAGAAAAAGACATTAGTGGCCCAGAGAGCCTGCGAAAAACAAACCTCCTGCCGGGACCTCAAGCTCCGCCACACGCGCACTTGCTTTATTGGTGTTCTTGGCCATGTTTGTAAATATGTTGGTATGGATGTATTTTTGTATTTCTGTAGATGTGTTGGGGTATGGTAGGGTGTTGGAGTGTGTGTACATTGTGTGCCTACACGTGTGACTGCAGTTGAGCTTCATCGAGGAAACATCGTTTACAGTTAGAGGACTGACAATGGCAAAGGTGAAAGACCAACGGCAATTAAAGTACAGTAGAGACTATATTCATGAACCGATTCATACGGAGGGGCGATAGAACTAGTAAGACTTCCATTAGATTTTGGAAAGGAAACTATAACCTAAACAAAAAGGGACTAATAGTGGGTTTAATAGATAGATACCCACTATAGATACTACTAGATATAATACGTACAATAGATAGAAACTATAATAACCCTTGCATACCTATACAAAAACCTTTCTATGCCTATTGTCCTGGCAAACTTTGATCCTGACATCCATGTCTCAATCGCACTTGATCGTCATTCACACATCGTTCTCACTGTCCTCGCTGGAAACTACAACCTGTGTGCATCAATCACGACCTTTGACAGCCACGCTGCCACGCTTATCAGTCATGTCCTTTTCGCCTCTCCACCCCAGATCCAGTCACTGCATCTCAGCCATCGGCACTCCTTCCTCGAGCCATCAGCAATCTGGCATAACAATGGCGGAAAATGGTCTATGACCAGAATACGGCAATCCAAGAATACCAGTCAGCTGCAATTGTCGATGCGCCCTCTTTAACGCCCTTCGTCCTTTTTGAGTGACTTTTCTATGAGTGTTTCACTCTTGCCACTTGTTCCACAGGACTCGTATCGTTTTGCTGCCACATGTTCCAGCTCATTTTCGCCATGAGAGCCAAGTTTATGTTTTAAGCAAATATTTTCCAATTTTTTTTTGTTTTGTTTATGTTGTCTGAACAGTTGGCCAGCGACAACTTGTTGGCCAATTGTTGTGGTTGGACTTTGAGATGCCTAAAGTTTCTTTTTTTTCAGAGGATTGAGGATGTCGGTAGTGTCGCAAGTCCCTTGATGGGACCAAGTCCCTGGCTGTGCATAATTATGCCTTAATTTGCAGCTTCAAGCCCGCCCCAACTAATTACAACAAAAAAACAATTTCAGCTTTCGTTGCTACTTTTTGGCAATTAAAAACTTTTTATGCAAGACATATTTTTTATTTTTTTTTGCCATTTTAGTAGCATTTCACCCTTAACCCGGCAGGTGAACGGGACGAAAAGTTTTTCCGCAGCCCTTGACATTCTCCAAGTAGTTGTTTTTTTCCAGGAAATCTTCCCCCTGCCATCTGTCGCGCTTCATAATTGAAAATCACTTAGAGCGTGAAGTGGAAAAAAAACTGTTTGACAAGCAAAGTAGAGGAAAAGTCCTGGAATTCACAACAATAGGCCAAGATAAACCAGTCTAGAACTCGCCTCCGTACTTAGTCCTACTAAATAAATAAACAATTTTAAATCAGAAGATAGAACAGATGATTGTCCTAAAACAGTCACTTAAATAGTAGAGCGTTTTAAACTTAATTGCTTATAAATGTATATATTTATATATCCCTTCGCTTCAGACTGAGTGCCAACAACAAAGGCATAGATAGCCGCTTGGCCGGAGGGCAACCTGGTAAGGGAATGGCAGTCACTGACACTCGACATCCGCTCCTGCCATTTCCATGCATCCTGTGGATCCAGGGGAGACGAAAGCGCCAGAAGAGCAAGAATTGCCAAGCCGCAAAACAAAGCAATACAAAGGATGGGCGGTAGGGGGAGGGGGCGGGCTGGAGAAGGGTTGCTGCCCCACTGGCTGCTGCAAACAATTATTGTTATTTCAATTGAAATGCAGCGTTCACCAGCAAGCAATCGCCCATCTCCATCCACGAAAAACCATGCCCAACCGCAGTACCCTGCCCTTTGTAGAATTGCTATCAAAATTATACACCTTGCAGCAATAAACGACAAGAGCAGGGACGGGGAAGGGGGGCCAGGAGGTGAGCTGGATAGCCGGCGGGTTCATTGTAATGCAAATTACGTATACGCCCTGGTGCAGCTACAAACTGGACCTCTCCTCCACTTCGTTATTCTTGCTTATGTGTGGCCATATATGTGTGTGCATATTTTTGCCCTTTTTCAATGCCAGAGCTGGAAAAGTAATAATAATGAAAATATGAGACGCTTTTCATCCAACAGCTAGCTAGCTGGAGAGAAATCCTCTCAAGGGCTGTTAGGAAAATGCAATTAAAGCATTAAGCAGCGTGGAAAATAATTGCATATCCATAGGTTTCTGTTTTTGGGGCTTTGTTGCGGCTACAGACTAAGCTTGTTTACATCGAAACCGAGTAGATTACTTTTAGCCAAGGCTTATTGGCTTAGCTACGTCACAGGCCAGACCGAAATTGGCCTCACTTAATCATCACAATCCGAGTAAGTTTTGTCTGAAAACTTTGCCCCCACTAGCCAGTGTCCAGTTTTCAGAAGGAAATGCAACATTTTGCTGCCGGAAATGCACTCGAGTAACTTTTCCCTGTTAGAGCCCAAAAACCCGAAATGGCCAAGTTGGTGTACCAATGTCAATTCAAGGGCCAGGAAGTTGTTGCATTTAAATGGGAAAACTTCAACACACACAAAATGGATACACAAATATCCAGAAATGGCCCCCCAAAGGCATCATAGCAAAATTGTATGTGTTAACGACTGATAACGGCCAAATGGACGCCATACAGTTGGCTTAGGAAACTCCGACTTTGGCTGACGGGAAACGGAAACCGCAACCGCCATACCATCGCCATCGCCATCGCTGTCACCATCATCGCCATCATTGTCATCGACATTTGAGAGCCTCTTCCTTTCGATGTAGAGGACCCGCACACTGGAACGGCAGAAATATACCTGCACCTGTAGGCCTGACAGGCCTGTTTGCTTTTCCGCTTTTCCGATTTCCCAACTCTTTTTCACATTCACCGCAAGCAGCTTTGGCACCCCCATGTGTTTCCTAACAAAGCCTCCGCCGGGAATATTCATTTCTATCCACATTGTCCTAGAAAAGCCACCGACACAAGGTGTGGTTTAAGGAATGTGAAAATCCTAGAAACTTAATTTTCCCATTACTTAATAAAATATTTACATAGTTGTATTTAAAAAGAATTTTATTACTCTGATTTGTGTGCTAAATGGTGAATTTTTTATGTTTCCCCAAAAAAAGAAGCCTCGTAATCTGACAAAGCTTATCAGTGTCTGAATACGTGTTAAAACAACAATTATAAAAGTAACTTAAAACTTTGAAGAACTTTTTACTAAAAAAAATATTAAATACTCTTTTAAAACAGGTATTAATTAAATAAAATATTATTTATTTAAAACAGCAGAGTCTTATTATCTTTCTTGTATAAGGTTGATCTGGGATTTATTTTTTAAAACTCTTATAGCTGAGTTACCCTAACCATAAGGGTATTACCTTTAATTTTATTTCAGTTTTTTTTTTTTTGGTTAGTTGCCTGCTTGGCTGGCCTGGTACTCAACTGCAATTCCAAACTGGCGAAAACCGACAAAAAATATTCGCTCTGAATATTTAATTGTGCGCGTTCCGTGCATTTATCTCGTTGCCATTGCGTGCTAGATACATCCACACACTCACACATACTCTACAAATACACATACACATACACTCATACAGACTCATACTTGAATTTGTGGGGGCGTGGCTTTTGAGCTGGTTTGTTGCGGTTGCATATTTTGTGGCTCTTTCGGGTCTTTTCGATTTTCGAAATGCGCTTTTAGTTTCTCTGTTTGTTGTTTGCATTTCTTTGGGTTCGTCCTTGCATCCGCATCCGCAGGACGTTAGTCTGTCGTTGTTGTTTGTCCTTTTACACCCAAAAAACCTGGCAACTGTATAAATAAAAATTTCCTAGTTATTTTCTCTTTTTTCTCCAACCGAAATGTCTAGATGATTGTGTTCTAGTGCCAGTGTGTATGTTCATACTTTTTGACGCTTTTTAGCTTAACTTGTTTTTCGTCCTGGGCTTACCATATTGGTATGTAAATTCTGTGGGTTCAGATGTTGTCATTGTGGTCCCTGCATTTGTCGTTGCCAATGAAAATCCTTTTTTTATATTTTAAATTTCATCAGGATATGAAAGAAAGTTATTAGTATAGACAAACTTACTTTTATCTTAGTTTTTGCACTCATGTGTGTCCCATACAGGTGTTTATATTTTCTAAAAAAAATATTTTATTTAAATCTCCATACCATTTGCAGTTTCAATTAAATTTTGACTTGTGCATCGTTTTAATCCCCTCTATGGTATCAATTTAATCCCACTCATTTCCATTTTCCGCCCAGCCCTGTACATGTTAATGGGAATTAGAACAGCGTTATCCCGGCATAGAATTGCACTCTTCCCCATAAATCATACTCCACCTCATATCCTGTGATGGCATATTTGAAATATTTCGGAAAATGGCAAACAAATCAACATAATTCGGTCGGTTTTCCCGTGGTCAGGAGCTAATTTGTTTCCTTGTTAAGGCAGTAATTGCAGAACACAGCCATTTTGCATATTTGGGT